GACCCTGGTTATTTTTTACGTTTAGAGTTTCAAAATGGGTAATACTTGACAAAATATTGTTATGTAGAAGGACAATGTGATTCAGTCAAATATTAATTTTTATTGTCGCTGATAGTGAATCTGCTGCGTAACTTCATATTATTGAACTGCCTAATTTCCCTGAAATATGTTCAATTAATGAGCTGCATCAGAATCTAAACTAACTCCCAATCCGTTCTGTCCTGCCCATCTGGATAGTTTCTTTAATACTGATTCCATGATTGCACTGATGGTTGATAAGCTGAAGCCTCTCACCAGTACTATACGTCATCAACATTCACAATCAATTTAATCCTCCTCTCTCTAAAGGTTTTTAGAAACATATTGATTACCAACAGCCGCAATAAGAGTGCAGATATCACTCCTCTTTGTGAAGTCCCTCTGCTTTCTCTTATGGTATAGTCACCAATTTTCTGAAGTAATGATTCTGCTTTTCAACATTTTTATTATCCATTGTATGATGACTGGTTCTACCTTCAGGTGCTTTATGGATTTTTCAATCATTATACATTATTGAATGCACCCTCTATGTCCAGAAATGTACTTGGTGTGTATTCCTTATTTTCGGGAGATCTTTCAATTGTTCCAACTACTTCATGCATCAGTGCCCTTCCAGCTGATTTTCCTTTTGAAACTATGCACGTTGGTCTGGGCATTACGTGTTTATTTCCGTTAACAAGAACTAAATACTTTGGAATTTTAAACGAAATACATTCCTAACTCAACTATATGAATTATGTTCTTGTTAAAGCCCTGTGCAATCCCAGAGTTGAAACCTGATGAAGTCTAAGGCCGTGCTACCAACCAGTTCCAGTGTCTTTCACGTCTTTGAAATATCAATTTCTCCTGTAGGTACTGTCAAGCCGTCAGTGGCGGATCTAGCATGAAGCAAACGACGCACTCCGCACAACCAGATTCTAAAGGGACCAATAAAAACGAATAAAAAGAAAACTCGTAGATATAAAAAAAAATCGAAAATCAAATTTTGAAAGAGACGGCAACGTTGTATACCAGGATGCCTATTCTTGAAACTGGGGAACAGCGTTCTCACGAGAAAGAACGATTGCTCTGTCTTTGTCAGTGTTATGGAAATAGAAATATGGGCAACTAAGACAGAACGCTTATCTCCTGTTTCAACAATAAAGGCCCTGTAGGGAATCCAGGGCTGGAATCATGACAAGTAGAATTCCACTTTCATGACGTCATTCGCGACACATTTATCGCGTATATTACTAGGCAACCTGACGTCATGAAAGTAGAATTTTAGTAGAATGTCGTGATCCCAGCCCTGATGCACTCGACGCGATGCGGCAACCGCGGACGCTTCGACTTTACGCTGGGTTATGTGATGTGTCAATTGTATCATACTCCCCTAACTCCCTCTACATCAAATTCTAGGCTTGCGAGTGACGTCACTATCAGCAGCTCGTAGTGATGACGTCACCTGCAGACCTCGATGGAATGCTTGCGATTCAGGCTGTGCTAGTGAGTTAATTTTTTCGTCGATTTTAAATGTAGAAAAGGTGATTTTCGGTTTGTTCTCACAGAAGCAATTAAATGTTCTTGATCCTCGAGTATCCCAGAATTTGATGGTGGGGGAGTTAGGGGAGGATCCTCGCAAAAAATTGTCTATTGTCTTCCAGGCTCAGATAATTTATGGCACTTGTCGGTGGAGTACGGACAGTAGCAGTGCAGTGCGGTACTATTATGTTGTATTTCTTTTTGTTTAGATAAAAAGTTCCTGAATTTTTACAATTTTTTTTTTCGTTTAACTTGTTTTCTGTCTCATATGTTCTTGATAAGCTTGTTTTTTGATAAATTTGTTTCTATACTTGGTTGTTAAAAACTTCAAAAATATAAATAACTTCCGCACACTCACCTCACACCCCAACACCACAAGAAAAATACCTAAAAAAAAGCATGACTGGGCCCCAAAAAAAAAATTTGCGTCGGGCCCCGAAGGTCCTAGGTCCGCCACTGCAAGTCGTGACAAAAAAGACAGTAGATTCAGGCAATGAAAAAATTTCCTGTTGCTTGTTAGTTTCTGAGGTAACTTCTTCTACATTTGGTGTTGATTTTTCTAGCTTATATTTGTACCTGATGCAATTATTATTCCATATACAATTTATCAAAGGGAACTTCCTCTATAAACTACTCCACTATATTTGAAGAAATCTCCCCCAGAGACTAGACTCGTACAATGATGATTTTACTCAGAAAAGTTCAAACTTTATATATTCCAGGCACTCAAATTTATTCATTAGATAATGCAGAACATTGCTTTTAACCCATATTTAACTCATCAGTCACAGAGATTCGTCCACAATGGCTGAAACATCGCCAAGTAAAGACTAAAAAGTTTCTTCTGCAATTTGTTCATTTGATGATTCTACTCAATAAAGTCCAAATCCTGAGATTCCATGCTCTGGAGATGATTCAGGAGACATTTTCCTATTGCTTTAAATGGAGGAGAAGCAAGTAAAAATCCACATTTAATAATAACTAGAAAAATTCTTCCACAGTGGTTGAAGCAACACCACAAGTAGAGACTGGAAAGATGATTTTATTTTTCTAATCAAAAAACTTTAAATCCTAGGCTCTGAAGACCATTCCATGGATCATTCAGGAGAAATTCTCTTAAAAAATCTTACAAATAAATTGAACTTCACCAGTTGAAGAATTTGACTCCTGGAAAATTCTTTAACAGTGGTTGAAACAGCGATTAGTAAAGGCTGGAAAGATTCTTCGGCAATTTGTTCATTTGATGATTTTACTCATTGACTCATTGACATGCTATCAATGGCAAGATTTTACTAGAAAGTTGAAGCAAATAAAGTAAATTCTGCTCAAAAAAATCAAAATCTCAACATTCCAGGCTCTGGAGATCATTCATTAGATGATTCAGTTGATGATTGGAAAGATTTGTCCTATGATTGGAATCAAAAAATCCAAATTCCAAAATTCCAGACACTGAAAGCCATTCATTCTCTTAAAAAATGTTCCAAATAGAGAAGAAGTAAACACTCCAAATTGAATAACATTAGTTGAAGAATTTGATTCCTGGCAAAATTCTCTAAAAGTAGTTGAAACAGTGATTAGTAAAGGCTGGAAAGATTCTTCTGCAATTTGTTCATTTGATGATTTTACTCACTGTAATCCATGTTCAACTTTATCAATTGAGGAATTTAATCAGTGATAAGATTTTCCCATTAGTGGTTGAAGCAACCACAAGTAAAGACTGGAAAGATTTGTTCTATGATTCCAAACTCTATTATTCCAGACCACTGAAAGCCATTCATCTCCTAATATTTCTTTAGAAAATGTTTCAAATGCCTATTGAAGAATCTAAACACTGGCAAGATTATTCTACAATAATTGTCTCATTTGATGATTCTACTTTAAATAGTAGGTACAAATTTTACTGTTCCAGGCATTCGAGGCCAAAGAGTGGATGATTTAAGAAATATTCCCTTATTTCCATTAGTGGTTGAAGCAACCACAAGTAGAAACTGGAAAGATTTGTTCTATGAATTCCAGACACTGAAGGCCAATAATCTGCTAATATTTCTTTAGAAAATGCTTCAAATGCTTATTGAAGTATCTAAACACTGGCAAGATTCTTCTACAATTGACTCATTTTATAATTTTACTTTAAATAGTGAAATTTACTGTTCCAGGCACTCAAGGCCAAGCAGTAAATGATTTGGAAATATTCCCCGAAAAAATGCTTCGAATCAAAATGGAGGAAAAGCATGTAATCTATGTTCAAATTCATCAATTAACAAATTCAATCACTGATAAGATATTTCCACTAGTGATTGAAGCAGTGACAAGTAGAGTCTGGAAAGATTAGAATGATTATAATGAAAAACCTGCAACTTCTAACATTCCAGAGACTGGAGGCCATTCATTTCCTAATATTTCTGTAGAAAATACTGGCAAGATTCTTTTACTTTTCCAACTTAGATTCAGAGAATTGAGAGAATGTCTAAGAATCGACGCTCTCATCATTATTCTCAACTACATATTTCTTCAATATCAATTTAACATCTCCAGCACCCTCATTAGCATTAAAAATTTCTTGAACTTCACCAAAATCTTTTTCAACAATGTATCTTGAATCAAATTTTTGAATAGTGCAGACTGTTGGATAATATTCGCCTAACTTATCAAATTTTTTTGAGGTTTGTTTTGATGCATCTTCTGATCTGCTTAAGATTTATTATCTTCAAAAATTTCATTGAAGCCTCCTAATGATTCTTGCTTTAATTTTGAAGCAGTTTTACATTCTTGGTAAATGCATGAAGCTTCTCAACTTGGCTTAGTCAATTGCTTAATACAACTGTATGCAAAACAGTATCTTAAGATAAGATGGCATGCACATCTTTAGCTAGTTGTTCCATAGTTTAACTAAGTCTTCTTGTAATTTAAGATATCTTTCGAACAAATCAAACAGCAAGGGATTTTATTTCCTGAATTAGTAATAATTCAAGCATAATCTTAGAGCATTATCTTTAATTAAGCGCAAATTATCACACAGCACTTTTATTGCTTCGAAAAAATTCTTGAAATTTTAACCCTACTGCAGCAACTTCATTATCTTTATTAATTTTCTTAACGAACGACGCTTTGAAAACTGTCCAAAGTTTCGATAAGTTCTGTAGCAGCTTCACTAAACTTTTGTTCAAAGTTACTTTAAACGACTTTCAATGAAGCAAGCTTAACTTCTATATGAGTCTCACGTATTGCGGGTCTTTCTAAACTCTTATTCCTGGTGTAGTTGAGCTGGAATTAGGACTCCGATATTTTTTCCAGTGCCACTTTAAATTTATTAGCAAAATCTTCGGAAACTTGTCTCAAATTTGCCCTCCTCCAGGGTTCCATTAACTAGTCATTTGACGTTTATCTCAAATCTACATATGAAAATTATAGAAAAATACAATGAATGTATCTTGTTCCAGATGGGTCATATGGACGGTCTAGAAATGCTCGACCCCATCACCTCGTCATCGATGACCACATTAACCCCAATGTCCGAAACCCCATCGCACATGCACTCGTACGGTACGAATCATTTCATGAACCACCACCACCACGGAGGACCCTTATCAGGACACGGCGCACCAGGTAATAGCGAGAGCATTTCGATAAATCGCTATAATTAAGTCATAGATTTTTCGTTTGGATTAGGACACCATCCTGGACACGGAGGACATCCCGGTGCTCACCACCCGTCAGCAATGGCGGCTGCAGCTGCCGCCGCCGCAGTTGCAGGCTTACATCCCGACGCCGACACAGATCCCAGAGAGTTAGAGGCTTTCGCTGAAAGGTAATAGAAATACATTTTTTTTTTAGAAAACTAATCAAAAGACCTTTGTCTAAATTTCAGCTTTGTTTGCAGATTCAAGCAACGTAGAATAAAGTTGGGCGTGACTCAAGCTGACGTGGGCAAAGCTCTTGCAAACCTCAAACTACCTGGCGTTGGAGCTCTATCGCAATCCACCATTTGCAGGTTCGAATCTCTAACTTTATCCCACAACAACATGATCGCTTTGAAACCGATTCTTCAAGCCTGGCTGGAAGAAGCGGAAGCCCAAGCCAAAAACAAACGCAGGGATCCGGACGCGCCGAGTGTACTGCCCGCGGGCGAGAAAAAACGTAAAAGAACTTCGATAGCGGCGCCGGAAAAACGCAGTTTAGAGGCGTACTTCGCGGTACAACCGCGACCGAGTGGCGAGAAGATAGCCGCGATCGCGGAAAAGTTGGACTTGAAAAAGAACGTGGTACGCGTGTGGTTCTGCAATCAGCGACAGAAGCAGAAAAGGATGAAGTTTGCTGCGCAACACTGACCGGAAGTCAACTTTGGGTTTTAAGACTTGAAGTATATACACGAAGGATGTAATAAAACATGTAAGATAATTAGTTGTTAGACTAGTGAGCACTTGGACTCTTTTTTTTTGGAGAAAGACTGAATAAAGTCTATGGATAATTATTAGGCAGTGGTCCTCGATGGTTTAAATCTTGAAAAGATTAGTTTAATTTAGATTGAGAGAAAACACAGTTGCAGGTGTTTTTGCTCCTTCTAAATCCATCAAAACCTATTAATGCCCTAGAGAAGATTTATAAAAATACCGGAACAATTGTTGTACATTTAACTTTCCGGTACTAAACTGTGCAATACCCTTTTGTGCTGTGATATATTGGCCAAAGCTCTCTTTTAGTTTCGAAAAATTTTCTCATAGTCTTCTCTAGGACAAATTCTTCTAAAACTATTTGTAGTTAATGTACATCTCTTTTATAATATAGTACAATTTTTATACAAACAAAAAAAATGTCTCATGGAAACGAATTTGCTACAAAAATTTGTACATAAATAGAAAAGAACTTAATAATTTATTGATTTTAGAAAATATTAATAGTGGTTTTGTAAAAATGAATATTGATATAAGAATAATTTTATTATTAATTGTAAAACATTATAGTCGTAAAAGTAAACTTGCACAGTATTATTAAACAATGTCAGTATTTTATGTCCTCAAGTGATATTAGTTTTATTTTTTATTTTGTTTCACTAAAAGTGCAATATAATTATTATATTTAGGCAATCTAAAACAATCAGGAAAAAATATCATTCTGAATTTTTTCCTGGTTCTAATCTAAAAAAAATTGTAAAAATAAACTGTAAATAAACTCCTTTGTTATGTAGATTCCTAAATAGAAGCAATAAATAAGTTTTAACATTAATAGTGTAAAAATCTACCCTTAAAAAGCTCACAAGTCCTCTACAGGGTAACCTAAACATATCACTTTAGTCAAAAAATAAAAATGCATTTTTTTTTTTTTTTAACAAAAATGTTTGCAAAAACATTTTTGTTATCATAATGTACATAAATTCATTATTGTAAATAGTGTTTTTATTTAACTTATCTAGTCGTTTTGTGTTCCTTATTTTCTCTTGGAGTTTTGCACCCGCACAAACTTTAAGAATATTTTACGTTGGAATAATTATTTACGTTTATATTTATTTAAAACTGGTGTATCATATTTCATTCAAAGTCTTATTATTAATAAAGTCCAGTTCGATTCATTAATTTTTTATTGTATTATTTATCCTCACTTATACAAAATCCTCTTGTATGAAGAACTTAGGCCTGGTTGTGTTCAACTGAATCAGTATTTGGTAGTTTCGAAAAACTTCTTTTTAGCTTAGCCTTTGTCAACTTAGCTACCTCCTCCCCCTCTAAAGAGGGTTGAAATCTCGAGCGACCCTTATCCGCCTTTGTCATCGAACGGCCAGGGACACTATTTGCAGATTAATTTTTAATAGGGTTAGATCAAATGTTATGTATTAAATTAGTGTCTATATGTTGGCTTTGGTCGACATATGTCGCAAACATTGATACCGTATTACTGGTACAACAATCGGAAACTTTGGAGAAAGTGTAAGTTATACTTTGGTGAATTATGAATTTTTAATTGGAGAAACAAAACAATATTATGTTTTATAGCTTAGGAAGTCTATGAGAGAATAGAGTTTAGTCTTGGAACCGACTTACAAAAAAAAATCACAGACTTATCACGAGTAGACTCAAATTGCTACCTGGACAATACCAACAACATGATATTTCAGCGATTATACAACTCACTGTACATTATTCCCATATGACACGAGAGGCAATATTGTCAATTTGTCATTAATGATTATAAAGATTGATAAAGTATTGAAGTTTAGTTCGTTGTATAACCTTTTGAATACCACTCGATGTTTCAGGATTACCTAATACTTTTACCTGACACTCAACGCGTTACCAGCAACACCACTCCTTCTTCGGAGTCGTGGTGTTGCTGCGTAACGCGTTTCGTGACAGGTAAAAGTATTATCCGGTAATCCTGAAAGCTCTTGTGGTATTACATTCGATAATTTTTTGACATTGTGACCATTGTGACATTTTTAATTTGAAGTTCTTATTCATATTTTTACATTCTATTTATTATCAAAATCTTACGTGAAATAGTCATGACGAATACCACTTGAAAAAAAAATTGTGTAGGCAAAATTGTTCTCAGGATTTTATTTAAGTTTGCTGCTTTTCGACAAATTGCCAAGCAAAAAACTTTCATACCAGTCGAAAATTTTACCAACAAAATTTTTTCTCTTGTGGTATTATACAGTGTGTCCCAAATTGGTGGTGCATGTATTAGAATATAGGAAACTGTAACAGATACGAGGGAGGTTAAATGGGAAAAGTTTTAGACAATTATGTTGGACGTTTAATAGCGTTTGCAGATTGAGTCTAGCTTTTCACATTTTTGAGATATTTAGAAAAAACTGAAAAGTTGGTTTTTTGAAAATAAGCTGAAAATCTTTTATTTTTGAAAATTTCTCAAATCTGTGAAAACACTTTCAAAGCAACTCTTTGTGCAAAATACGCATGTGTGATTAGATTTTTTCTAGCACATTTCGGTTTCCTGGAACCATCATCAACTTCATTATTTCTCATTGCCGCCATATTGGATTTTCATACCGTAAAATAGAATGAAAAAATACAAAATCAATGATATAATACACTTGACCAAAATAATCAAATTTGACCATAGCAAATACGGTTTTATGTTTTGATCAACATAGCAACGTCGCATTACAGAAGGAGTGATGTCAGGGGAGCAACCTGGCCAAGGAACTGGACCGCGATTAGCAATTACCCTCTCTCTAAATGTATCATGCAAAAACTCCGGAACTTCTTGGGTCTTATGAGCACGGCAACCGTCTTCTTGGAACCAATCCATACAGGATTCCTAAAAAAATAAAATCAAAAATGCATAGAAAAAAATACGATACGTCTAAAATAGGATGTAATATTAACACAGATCCCAATAATGCCGCACCATACATTAAACCCGAAACGAACTTGCAACCAGTGGCGGCTCGTCAGAGGAGGCAGGGGAGGCTAAGCCTCCCCAAAAAAATTGAAAATTAAATCTCAATATTTTATCCCTAATTCCTATTTAATATTATAATTCACAAATTACACTTTCCAACAGGGGCGTAGCCAACAGGGAGGGAAGCGGGGGAGCCTCCCCCCAGGGCAAAGCTGGCACAGGGGCGCCAAAATAGGCAAAGTGCGAAAAATAAATATTTTTTTTTAGCCAAAAGGCAAGTGAAAACAAGTTTCCGTGTAGGTAATTAAATACTATTTTACAAATATTATAATTCAGAATGCACTTTATTATTTTTACCCAAAACTGTCTAAAAAAATCAATACCAAGTTAGATATTTAGAGTGCGTTCGAAAAAGGGTTAAATTTTACCCAAGGATGAGAGTAGGTATATGGTCACGTGGTCAGTGGAGTAAATTTTTTCTGGTGTGTTTTTGAACGCACTGGTGTATAATTATAACCTACATAACATTTAGGCCCAGTGTTCTGTGCATTCCATTTATCTGTTTGTGCCTATTATCAACAACAACTTCCGAGAAACGGAAAATGGAACAAATAAATCTGACTAAATATTAAATGAAAGTAATAGATTTAAATAATGAAAAACTGACAAGAATGACAGGAGTAAAATTTACCCAGCGGCAAAGTTGGTTATGAAAGAGTTCACACTGGGTAGCACCCCGAATATTTTCGAACTAGCGTGAAAGGCAACCGGAGTTTATACCAATTCATTTTCGAACGGCTGGTGTGAACTCGGTGTGACGCCTAGACTGATTTTGAACGCACTCTTATAGTTGAATCAAATTCAAGCGGCAGTAATGACATTAAATAACCTAAATTGTAAACAAACACCAGCTGGTTGGTAATCCAGCCTTCCCATTGATTGAAACGCCCTACCAGGACCAGTGCGCATGCACGGAGGACATTTGATAGGTTGTAATGAAAATGACCAGTTAATGTCATTACTGTCGCTTGGATTTGATTCAACTATAGTAATACAACATTAAGGGCGGATACCTATTATAAAAACTATTTTGACAGAATAACGGAAAGTTAACTTCTAGAATGACGTTACTTCTCATAAGTAATTCCAGAAGTTAACTTTTAGTCATCTGTCAAAATAGTTTTATAATACCCGCCTTAATTGATTTCATTTTTATTGAAAAAAATTATACCCACATTTTTCTAAAATTTGCAAAATTTCAATGTGGTCTTAAAATGTATTTTTTTTGCCTTTGGATTGCCTTCGCGGTGCCTAGGGGGCGCCGGATCTCAGTTCCCCCCCCCCCCCCCCCTAGGGCTAGTCATATCGCTACGGCCCTGCTTTCCAAATTTCGATATTTTAATATAATTTGGAACAATCTGACAACATTATTTCAAACAATTCCGCGCCTCCATGACAAAAATCTGTTCCTTGCCCGCAATTTTACCATTAGAAGTCGACCGAAGGCTTGACTCTCATATGCTTCCCTGAAATCTAGCATTCAAATGGACCGCGAATCTCAGCGACCAATAGAAATGCCGGAAACATGTCGAACCATTCCTGGCGTTCAGGCACCATCGGGTCGCGGAGCGGCTAGCCGCAACCTTTGATTGCAAGGTTGGAAACTGCCATCGTTGCTTTTTTATCTCTTTTTTTTGCATTCGGAATTCCATGTCACTTTTCTATTCGGAAGTCGTAGATTGTTGATTGATATTTTTTGTCGTCAGGTGCATTTCAAATTATTGTGCAATTGTGTATCTTTCTTGGTAGGGATGCCCAAAAAATATCGATGTTTTTCAAACATCGATATAAAGTATTCGATACATCGATATTTTTACATCGATGGAATTATTATGTTCGTAGATATCGACAGTTATCGATATTTTTGATTCGATATTTTGTGTGTTTTACAAATAGTAATTTGATTTCCTTTTCCCAATTTAGTACATTCGTGAATTGAAAATATAGAAATAAAATTAAAAAAATTCGCGCTGGTTCTGCAAATAGAAAACGGTATTGATAGGTTTGTTCCAACCCGTCAAAAAACCGTCCCAGAACGGTTTCGGAACCACTCTGTATCACTGATCTAAAAAATAAATGGATAAACAATCATACGGCTTGATTGGCAAAATTTGTGCGAAAATTTGGGGTCAATATTCTACGAACAGTTGTGCAACGGAACAGCCTAAAGGCCGTATCAGACGTACCGTTGCCGATTACTATTAACGATTACGATTGGGAATTCGACCAATCAAAATGTACCTGCTTCTGGTTGCGATTGCCGTTGTATGTTTAGGTTAGTGTCTAAATTTTACGAGGCCGTTCTGAACCGTAGCCAATGAAAGCACTCATATGAATAGCATGTGACATGTGTCTAAACGTCACTTTTTTGTTTCGC